GATATATTATTGAAAAAAGATCCGATTTGGAGCACATGAAAGTATGACATACATGAGTCATACTCCGCACGCCATGCTAAATAAAAATTCGTCATGCTAGAAATTGAGATTAAAATTATAAAATGCATTTAGCTCTACAAATCCATGCCAATTATCCTATCAAGCGTCATATTTAAAAGCATGCCAAGCAACATGCCATGCCAAGCGGAAAATTATTATTTCACACCCAATCGCACTACAAGCTTAAGTGGGCTCAAGCCACTCGAATGCCCGGGGCTTGCTTGAGTGGATTGTGGTATGGATGGTAATAAATTGTCATGAGGCCCATTTATGGACCGAGAAATGGAAGTTCCAGGTCGCTTGGGAGACTCGGGACTCAAGCCCATTTCTTAGGCCCAAATGTGGGTAAGCACAAGAGAGAAAGTAGCCCATTGCCCCAATTAAAATATCCCAACCAAAAGATAGCCCATTACTACAACCAAGATGGCCCAACACTTGATAAGCTTAGCCCATTTATTTGACAAGTCATATTGTTGTCTCAAGAAGCCCATACAATTAGCATAAAAGTCAACAGGAGCCTCAGCACTTGGGTGAAAACAAAAGCTACGAAAAGAAGCAAAGGTGTCCATGTATGCAGAGCCGCTGGAAGCTTCAGCACATGATGGGGGAACAAATTTCCAGCAAAGGCATTCGAAGGACCAAGGAATTTTGGCACGCAAGGAAGGATGTCATCCTTTAAACCAGCAGGCGCACCCATTTTCTTTCCTTCATCAGATTTGGCCATGGAAAGAGGAAGAAAGAGGAGAAAGAAGATGGATGAAAATGGAAGCTCTCCTCTGAAGCAACCACCGGAAGAAGCCTAGAGCTCCCAAAAATCTCTGATTTTGTGGGATTGGGCAGAACTGATTTTTGCCACCATGAGGTAAGTCAAGAAAGAGGAGAAGAAAGGAAGAGGAAAGCTTAGCTAGATTGGGAAGAAACCATTAGGGTTTCTTGGAGAAGACCCATTCCCAACAGCTATAAATAGGACCCCTTCTACCCAACAACCCACAACCTTCAGAGAGCAAGCTTCCTCTCTCACATGCAAATCCAGTAATTTTCGTGCTTTACTTACCCATTTCCCTTAGCTCCCCTGTTCTGGCAGATTGGCTGCAGCTTTGACTGAGTCACTGTCAAGCTGCCGGAAACTGCTAAGATTACCCACAATTCTTCATAATCCTTCTCCCACTTCATCAAACCTCCTTAGAATCCCTTTCTCTTTCCCTTAGAACCTCTGCCCCTCATAGGAACTCACAGCTCTCTCTCTCAAGTGCTAAACTAATGATAATTTTGCTCCCATGCCATAATCTTCTCATGCAAAGCTAGAAGATTTATCTGTAATTTGTCGTTATTTTCATCGGTAAAGGTAACCAAAGAGTTTCCTAAGGCGTTGTCACCTTTTCGGGACATCTTTGGAGCTTAATCTTCGGACTCAGACACAAAGGGGACATTTGCATCAGATTGCTCCTTGCAGCAGCCCCGCCCACTTGCTGCCGGAAGAAAAAGACCCCTACAGCCATAAAATTCAAAATGAGTTGATAGCTATTTTAGCATCAAATGTTAAACATGTAATCTTGAAAAAATAAAAATGGCAAACTATTTTTTAATCATTCTTCATTTTACTTATGATGCAAGTCACATAGAACAAATGACTTTAATATTGAGGTGTGCTTATTGTGGGAACCGAATTTTAGCAAAACCCTAGGTCAAATATTTCTTTCCATTTGGGGATTATTTGATTTGGGGATTCTTGCCTTGAATTAGGGATTTGATTCTCATCAAATCCCTAATTGATTTGAATCTCCTAAAATCAGGAAAAATAATTCATTTTCCAATAAGGATTATTTTTCCCCAAACCCTAACCCTCCGAGGCTTTATAAAAACGAGACTAATGCAAGGCATGAGGTAAGCCATTCTAAGCTCTCAAATTACTGCAGAAATTCCCCTCCTTGCCGCCACCTCCCTCTCTTTCTTATACAAGGCTCCGGCCACTGCACACGGCTCCAACCACCCGGTTCTCTCCCCGAGAGAGCTCTGTACCCTTTTAAGCTATTGTTTCTCTACGAATCAATCAAACTAACATAGGCATCGAAGGGTCTTTGGCCAACACCCCCTGGGTGTGGTCCTTTTACTCCGATTGGTTTTGCAGGGAGAAAGAGTTCGAGGAAGGAGAAAGGAGAATCTATTGATCGAATATTTTAAGGGACGAAAATCACTCCCACACTTATCCCATTAGGTTTTTCCTAAACAAGGTTTTAATGAGGCCTCAAAATGTTATTCTTTATCTTTTGTAGACTCTTCCAACTTTAATAAAATTAATGAGTTGATAAAAAAAAAATTATAATTTTAGTGTTTAATTTTTCTAAAGGGGCACACTTTAGAAATTTGCCCAAAGTCTTAGAAAAGCTAGGACCAGCTTTGTCGATATGTACTTTTTAATAGATTGAGTTAAAATCAATATAGCATCTTTCTTTAAGTAAATTTTTTTCGTGATCCCAAAATAAAACTTGTGTACAAGTTAAAGTCAGATATCTAAAATTTTCCGGCTAAGTTTTTATGCATTGAATTTTGAGATGAGAGTTTCATGGTAGCTAAGATATGAGAGAAACTCTCATGCAACGAGGATAACATTTTTTGCTATTTCTGGCCAATAACACAATGATACGAGGGATAACTTTTTCACATATAATTGTGTTATCGGTCGGAAATAGCAAAACAATGATATCCCTGTTACAAGTAATTGTTATTTTTTCCTAGGATAGGGCTTTTGGTTTTTTTTTGTCGCTTGCTTAATTTCTTTTTGTCATTTTGTCTACGTGTTGATTTTCAGAGCGAATACCTTTTTCTTCGTTTACATATTGAGAGTTTGCATGTAAAAAGCAAACCTCTTTCTGTCGTTTTTGTTTACTTACTCACTCTTCGTCGTTTTGCTTACTTAATCACTTTTTGTCGTTTTGTTTACTTAATGTTAATCTCCTTTGGTCGTTTTTTATTTTTTTTATGAAGACATATTGCTGAAAACTAATTCCCACGTGTGTTGCAAACATGCACAACACACCACCTGGTCACTGATTACATCTATCTACAACCACAAAACCAGAAACTATAACTTAAAATTCCACATCAAATTATGAGATATGGCCCCTCCCAGAAAAAGAAAAGGAAAACAAAAGAGAGTATTCTCATCTAAATGTGAAGTCACACTATTGTATCAGATCCTTATAGACAACCCTAGAGGCGCAGGGACTCATCCAGTCCAGCTGTGCCCTTGTGCATTGGATCCACCCCGGCAGCTAGTCGGTGTCACAGTAACCCAGGCCATACCATACTTGCTGCTGGACACCAGCATGAAGTAGTATGAGTTACAAAAGCCAAGTGAATGTCAAGATTATTATGAAAGCCTCCAAGACCCTCAGCCCATCCTCCGTATCCTCCAATGTTTATTTACTTGCATGCCAACCCAAAGGCTAGTACAGTGAGAGCCCATGCTGCCAAAATTCATGACGATCCTGCTGCAGCTAAGGCTGTCACTCCTCCAAGCTCTGATATGGTTTGCTCCAGCCAACTTTGATGCTACGCTCCCATCACACCAGCCAATGCCAATATGGAGGGTATAAGAAAGAACATTGTTGCGCAGCATTTCCTCCAAACTAGGATGGTTGGTCTGGCAATTTAAAACACCAACTAGCAAAACCAACTACAATCAAATACATTATCAAGTTGAGAAACAGCAATGGAGCAAATACATATCAATTTGAGAAACAGCAATGGAGCTGCCACGTTCCTTCCCACTGTCTCAGCCATATCTCATTATAGATCTCACAAATAAAAGCAACAAATTAAAACCAAGCTTTGTCTCTCTTGTTGGGGATAATATTTCAGGAATATTTTTTGCTTCCTTTTTTTTAATTTTGTGTAATTACTTACCCTTTGTATAATCCTATTGTAAACCATTTTACGGTTTACCACTTTGTACATCTATATACACATTGTAGGAGAAGATTATACCTTGACGTGTCCTTTTTTTAAGGGTTTGCTATTGTGTATTTCCGCTGCGATTTGCTGGTACGGGTTCTACTTTGTTGGAACCCTCTATTCTTTTATCTACTTCTGACCCACTGCCAAGTAATGGTACAAATACATGGGTAGTTGATACTTAAGCTAGTGATCATATGACCTTTGACTCTCGCATTTTTGTTCACTTATCTTCTAAGCCCCGCCACTCGGGAGTTTAGACCTAAGTTGTGGGATTGTGGATCCGAGGCAGGGACGAAGGACACCTGAGTTTAGATTTATTTTATTTATTAAAGATAGAGGAGAAATTTATGAGAGGAATGAGTGAGGAGGGAAAAACTATTAAAAATAAAAACTTGAAAAGAAAAACTATTTAGAATGGCATTTGATGTCCCTCAACCATCCCTCCCCCTTCCTCTTTTTTTCTCCATCCTTTTTCTCATGCATTTCCTCTCTGAATTAATTTCCTCCAACTTTTTAACCATGACCCGACTATTTGACGAAAAAGGACATGACTAAATGAACGCTACCAAAAGAAAAGTTAAAAACATTGATAGAACGTAAAAACAATGAACCACAATGAGCAAAAAGTAGCAAACATTTGAACTACTGTACCACAATGGTCAAGTCCTTCCAGTAACAAGGTTAACGTAATCTGACAATTGACCTTAATAAAAAAATGGAATGACATGGATTAAGAACAATCCAATGAACGCTATGATTCCACACCCACACTGCTATCTTAAAGATTTTCCATGGGTGTGAACTGGACAGTTTGGGGTTTAACGACCCAATATCCAATAAAAACGGAAGCACATAATGAGATTACTGATAACAAAAGGGCAAAAACACTAGCAGCACTGACTGAGCTACGTGGTCTTGCCATGGTAAGCACAGAACTTCCCAAAGAGATGTCTATGGGGACCCAATCACAGCTAACAGAATAGTGTCCAGAGCCGTGCCACGGTTTTCCATCAACTGGATACCAAAATGCAACTGACATTTTACTTGATCCTCCAATTGTGAATTGCACATCCTACAGAAACAAGTAAAAAACTCATTTTAAACTCATTACAATGTTGATATTTTAATTGAAATCTATGTATAACAGATTACAATGTCAATTTTACTTGGAATCTATAATATCTATATATAAAAGAGACCTAGTATACTGTCAATATTTTCTTTGGAATCTAAATAAATAGACCAATAATCACATCATATCAACTGTGTAATATGTATGGACCAAAAGATGGGTGAAAATAAATTCCAACACAACAGTATAGCACAAACCAGTAATCATTCCAAAAAGATTTTTCGTACAGTAAGTTTGGTTGACACCATGTACATATTCTAAAAGATAGACTTGTTAAACTGCCAAGAAGTTTGTAAGTAAAAACAGCAAAGGACAAAAATAAAAAAGCAACGGATCATCAGATAATTGCAGCAATCTTGTCTAAGGGATGGATATGCATTTTCAATCAGCAACAAGGCTATTTAGTGTTTGTCCATAATCCTCTTCGTTCAACACAAAACAACAAGAATGATCAACTCTTCAAGCAACTTACACAACATGTGCTACAAGATGTACCAACAATTAGAGGGGAAAGGGTTTTTGAAAAGAACTCAAATCCAGGTAGCTAGAAATTTAAAAGTGCCAGGTGAACCTGTTGAAGACGATCCATAGTTCTCAAAGGCCTAGAGAATTCAAAGTAAAATGTTCCCTTTTGACCATCTGATGCATAAGGACTGTCTTCTTCCACAAAACCTGTCATAGTCAACAATAAAAAAAAACATAAACAACGCAAAAAAGAAATATATTTGTTTCTGGGGGAAGTATGGTTCAGTAGATAATGCATGGTCGTGTCACATACACGGATGCAAAATTATATTCAAATGACAAACCATATAACAAAGATTGATAATTACCTGAGTGAACATTGAAGCTACTGTGCCACCAAGCACCCTTCCAATCATTTTGTCCACTAGAATCATTTGCTGACAATGGACAGAGATAAACTAGATAATTTGATCACTGGAACTCATTTAAAAGCAAATACAAAAACTTAGAGAAAAGGAGTTTTCCGCAGGTGGGGGAATTCCACCAGTGGTTGAATTAAAGCAGTACTTTTTGCAGTCAGTACTTTTCCTAATGGGGATATGAGGGGGAAAATTGTTGACAAACTAATGGAAATCAAATAGTAATCTCCGGAAGATAATAGTTAAAAGTTGTTAGCTGGACCAGGGATATTCAACATAATGAATGAGATCACTTTTTAATATAACCCATCTTGAGGATTGTGACGTTGGAGAACCACTTCATAGATTTAATGCTGCTTTTGTGACTTCCTAACTCTAGCAGTCACTTCCTTAGTCCTTTCTTCTATCATATAGGCATGGTTCATGCCCCATTAAGAAAAATAGAGTAAAGTAGCAATAGGATAAATTACTCTCAGAAATACCTGAAGAACCAATTCCATCTAGGTATCTACAATGCGGGTTCCAAGCATAAAGATCAACTAAATGACCAAACCTGTTCAAACAAAGATGACAAGTATATACAATAAAATGGAGTCTATAAAAGATAAATCAGAATCAAATTAACCAACAAGTGGATCATTGCTATAAGGTGAAGAAATGAATTGTACTACAGCACCTGTCGCCTCCATTTCCAACCCTGTTGTCTATAGGGTTGCCACCATAGAGCCGTCCAGGAATAGCATTCCCAATTGAGAAGTGCAATATATCAACTTCATGGCCCTTGCACGTCTTGTTTGTGCAAGAGTCAACTCCTTCCTTACAGCCACCCATCTAGCAACACAAAAATCCTTTTGGTTTGAACTCCACAGTACATGAAGGAAGACCAAAACAAAGCAAAGAAAGTTGCACAAGTTTATTGAAAAATGAAAAACACATCCATAGTCCAATATGCCAATGGAGTAACTTACACTATGATAAGTTGCATCTTCACCAATTTGAAACATGAGGGCAACAGATGGGCATTTATTGTTGTCACTAAGTCAGGAGAGGAAAAAAACAAATCAACAAACTCTTTGTTGTTAAGATAAAAAGGCATGAAATTCAGTGGTAGTGCAATCCAACAAAGCATGCACTTCAAGCACATAATCAACCAACACATCAAAGTAGAAAAAAGACCAGATAATGACTAACAAAATCTTCAAAGATATGGCAAACACATAAATTCCATGTCCTCCAACAAAAAAAATAACATTCATTGTACTAAAAAGAGAGTCAAAGAACATCTTAAATGACAATGAGAATTTGGAGTGAACCGCAATTCTTGCCACTAATACTGAACATTGAAACCAAATCAAACAAACAAGAAATTAGTTCAGAGTCAACCACAAAGATATGAAAATATTCATTCCTTCCACCAAAAAACATACCCCTTAGAGTAAGCGTAGTCCCCATCAACTTGAACCATAAAGAAGACATCACGGCCATCATGCAAAGCCTACCGTCAAAATATAACAAAAAGAAAATCAAATTCATATTTAAAACCAACCAAATTATATGTTCAAACAGTAAATCAAGAATACCTTAACTGTCATTTTTCCACCTCTGTACTCGTTTTCAGCATCTGGGTCAAGGGCAGGGCGGAGAGAGAACTCGAACCCATCCATGTCCTTCCAGTCGTCGGCATGACCATCGAGCGTAATAAGACCGGGTCCGAACTCGGCCTGGACCCGGATGTCAGAGTCCGACTCACAGCTCCATTCACCCGACTCTTCGTGCGAATTGGCCTGTCGTATCAGCAGCACACAAAATACCAATAGCACTAGCACTACTCGAAGCATTCTGTAGAGGATAACGAACTTTTAGGCTTGAATTTGATGAGTACACCGTGCAACGCCCTATGTTCTGCATCCCGTGAAATATAATTGGTACTGGGGCTTGACTTTTGATGCTGATTTTCTCATGTACGACCTTATATTTTGAATAGAAAATTATTTTCTGTTTTTTATCGAGATTTTCTATTTAAACTCCACACTTCTCTTAGTTCACCATATGTTCTAAATTCACTTCAATTTTTAATTTAAATTTTCACAATTTCTAATAAAACCCCACTATCTTCCCAAACTCCCCTTAAATACACCCCAAGCTGAAAAAAAAAATAAGAAATAAAATAGATGAAAGATTTATATCATAAGAATTTATAAGATTTGAAAGGACCACATGGATTTTTTACTTTTATGATGCTAACCAACCAACTTATTAGATGATGAGCAACGGCAATAGTTCAATAGTTCAACCAAATTATTCAATAACAAAGAAATAAACACATCAAAGTAGAAAAAAGACCAGATAATGACTAACAAAATCTTCAAAGATATGGCAAACACATAAATTCCATGTCCTCCAACAAAAAAAATAACATTCATTGTACTAAAAAGAGAGTCAAAGAACATCTTAAATGACAATGAGAATTTGGAGTGAACCGCAATTCTTGCCACTAATACTGAACATTGAAACCAAATCAAACAAACAAGAAATTAGTTCAGAGTCAACCACAAAGATATGAAAATATTCATTCCTTCCACCAAAAAACATACCCCTTAGAGTAAGCGTAGTCCCCATCAACTTGAACCATAAAGAAGACATCACGGCCATCATGCAAAGCCTACCGTCAAAATATAACAAAAAGAAAATCAAATTCATATTTAAAACCAACCAAATTATATGTTCAAACAGTAAATCAAGAATACCTTAACTGTCATTTTTCCACCTCTGTACTCGTTTTCAGCATCTGGGTCAAGGGCAGGGCGGAGAGAGAACTCGAACCCATCCATGTCCTTCCAGTCGTCGGCATGACCATCGAGCGTAATAAGACCGGGTCCGAACTCGGCCTGGACCCGGATGTCAGAGTCCGACTCACAGCTCCATTCACCCGACTCTTCGTGCGAATTGGCCTGTCGTATCAGCAGCACACAAAATACCAATAGCACTAGCACTACTCGAAGCATTCTGTAGAGGATAACGAACTTTTAGGCTTGAATTTGATGAGTACACCGTGCAACGCCCTATGTTCTGCATCCCGTGAAATATAATTGGTACTGGGGCTTGACTTTTGATGCTGATTTTCTCATGTACGACCTTATATTTTGAATAGAAAATTATTTTCTGTTTTTTATCGAGATTTTCTATTTAAACTCCACACTTCTCTTAGTTCACCATATGTTCTAAATTCACTTCAATTTTTAATTTAAATTTTCACAATTTCTAATAAAACCCCACTATCTTCCCAAACTCCCCTTAAATACACCCCAAGCTGAAAAAAAAAATAAGAAATAAAATAGATGTTCTATTTAAACCCCACAATTTTCTTTGTTCACCCCAATATTTAAATCATTAAACAATATTTGTAGTATACATGAGATTTTGTTTGGGGTGAAAGTTTGAAGCAAAAGTATGTGCTAGGCATTAGTTTAAGGACGATTTGAAGGCATTAGTTTGAAGCAAAAATACATGAGATTTTCTTCTTGTGCTAGGCATCAGTTTGAAGCAAAAGTATTTGTAGTATACATGAGATTTTGTCACGACTGATCTTTCTCTTCAAGCCTTGGAAAGAATCTTCTACAATTGTGGAGCCTAATCGTCTAGCAGCACACGGTGCTTCAATGAATCGGATCTCAAGGATATCAAGAGTGGTGAGGAGTTCGTATTTTTCTAAAACTTAATATGAAGAGTAGTGGGGTGTGTAGAGTGTGTTAATACTAGGGTTAAGTATTAAGTTGGATGACCTTTTTTTTGTCTTTTTACACAATAATAAAACTTACAACTTAATAATTTAAGTATTGGGGTGAACAAAGAGAAGTGCGGAGTTTAAATAGAAAATCTCTTTTTATCGCCAAAGAATTACCGTTTAAACTTGAACTCTAGAGGTAGGCGGTTTCTAAGGATCTCCCCAAATAAACTTATTTGAGGAATCCCTTAACTGAAGTTATATATATCTATATATATAAAGCAAAAGGTAGGGAATGGAAAAACATTCAAAATACCAGAAAATGCCCTTAGTTAATGCAAACATTAAGAATTGAAATTATTAATTAAATGAGGTTAATATGGTAAATTCACACTTTTTCATATTAAAAAAAATTAAAATTAAAAGAAAAATCAGATAATGAATCCTATTTTTATGGAATACAACTACCTATTATCTTTTTCAATTCTAAAATAAATTTAAATTTTTTAAAAAAAAGCCTATCACAGGTGAGGAAGCGCGTACGGAGAGGCTAGTATATATATACACGAATTCGACCCACAAGGACTAACGACATTTTAGTCTATTAAAGTTTAGGCGATCAAAATGTGCCATGAGGTTTCAATTTCGTCAATTTGATACCCAACGTTTTTGAATCTGACCAATTCACACCATTCGTTAGATTGACCGTCTAGTCAGATGTTAAATGTTGATGTGGCAACCGCGAGACCCACCACAAATTGTTGATTGTCCAATCCAACTAGTCCACGTGAAGGGCATTTCTAAAAAGAAAAAACAACTCATATCCTTGGAAATGCCCTTCACGTGGACTAGTTGGATTGGGCAGTCAACAATCTGTGGTGAGTCCCGCAGTTATCATATCATCATTTAAAGTCTGACCAGACGATCAATCTAATAGACGTTGTGAATTGGTTATATTTGGAAACGTTAGGTATCAAATTGATGAATTTGAAACCTTATGGCCCATTTTGATATTGCCCCTAAACCTCGATGGACTAAAATGTCGTTAGTAAAAAAAGGGCTTAATTATTGTTTTACCCCTAGAACGGGCGCTCGTTCTCACTTTACCCCCTAGAAGCTGGATATCATGACCACGAAGTGAGACTCCATTTTCAGGCCACTTTTTTGGTGTTACACTCCAAATAACACGGTGCTTCCAGTTTTTGATTGTGTACTGACATTGAGTCAGACAAGTTATGCGCCATTCATAGATGATATTTGGAATGTCGAGTGGTATTTTTGCTTTTCGAGTGTTGTATTAATTTGTTTGAGTTTTAGATAACATGTTATTTGTGTTAGATTTAATGATAGCTAGCGGAATTCTCATGTATTCTTTGAAAGGATTTTCAGCAATCATCATTTCTCTTGCCTTGTTGTATGGAGAAGAAGTCATCGAAGGATGCGGTTTCGATGGTGATGCTCTATCAAGAGCGTTGGTGCTCTTTTGTGGGGTCAGTTGCCCGGAACTCCTTGTTCACACCCTGTAAGAATTCACGGGTTAAAAAATCAAGGAGTGCGTTAGTTTCACCTTTAATAAATTCAATATCAAAATCAAAAGCAGAAAGAATTCCTTGCCATCTTGCACAAATCTGTTTTGAGGCCAAATTTTTTACATCTCTAAACAAAATATCTTTTGCAGCCTTGCAATCGATTCTTATTAAAAATCTTTTGTTTAAAAGATCACTTTCAAATTTGGAAACAACATGGACAATGGTTAACATTTCCTTTTTAACAGTGGAATAGTTTTTCTGAGCTAGCATCCAAATCCCAGAGGTAAACCTGACCAATTGCTCTGAGTTATTAACTTTCCGTTTTAGGATTACCCCAAACCCTATATCTAAAGCATCGGTTTCTACAATTTTGAAGGCGTCTGGGTTAGCTAAGGCTAGACAAGGAAATTCTTTAACTTTAACTTTTAGTCTCCTAACAGCCTTAGTAAGTTCCTCAGTCCAGGGAACTGAGGGAACTTGACTCTTTTTTAGCCTTTGGTATAATAGTTTGGAATCTTTGGCTAAATCTTTATAAAAATATTTTAACCTTTGGTATAATTTAGACTTCCTAAGAATCGTTGTAGTTGTTGCTTGTCCCAAATTTCATTAGGGAACTTATCAGCAAAAGATATTGCTATATCAATTGGAACTATCAGTCTCTTATGAATGTTGTGTCCCCAAAAGTGAACTTTCGAAGAAAATAATTTCATTTTCTTTGCCGACACCACTAATCATGCATGCTTCACAACTTTCAAGAAAATATTTAGATGTTTAAAGTGTTGTTCTAAAGAATTAGAATAAACCAAAACATCATCAATATAAACAATGGTGAAAGCAGTGTAAATATTAAATATGTCATTCATAATATTTTGAAATTCAGAAGGGGCATTTTTCAATTCAAAGGGTAGAACGTTCCATTCGTAATGTCCAAAGAGGACATTATAGGCTGTTTTGTATCTATCCTTTTTGGCTATCTGGATTTGCCAGTATCCTGATTTCATATCAAATTTAGAAAAGATAACTGCCTTATTTCACCTATCCAAGAGATCTTTCTTATTAGGAATCGGGTATCTAACCCATTTCAAGGCTTTATTAAGAGATTTATAGTTTATCACCAATCTGGGTACCCCTCTTTCCAATTCAGCCGCGTTTTCAACATAAAAGGCGGAGCAGCTCCAAGGAGATGAGCTTTTCTTGATTAACTTCTTATTCAATAAATCTTGAATTTCATATTTACAAATTCCCATTAGCCTAGCATTCATTTGAATTGGCCTAGCTTTAGTTGGGATTTTCTTCTCATCAAAATCTGGCTCATAAGGCAATTCAACAATAGGCTTTTTCCTATTCCAAAAGGCATTTGGTATTTCAGCACAAACTTGTTTTTCAAACATTTGTTGTACTTCTTTAATTTTATCCTTTATCTTCTCAGTTTGCAATTGTTCTTCTATTCTTTTATGCTGCAATTCTTCTTTCAAATGATAAAGATAATTTTCTTTCTTTTTATTTTTTCTCAAATCTCATTAATATATTTATGCATTGGTGGCTGGGAAAACCTAAAGACTATAGGTTCACCTTCTACCTTGGTTTCAATTCCTTCCTCAGAAACCGAAAAATGATAAAGCATATTAGTGAATGTTGTTCCTAATATCACCGACTGGTTTAGACCTTTCACCAGAACAAAAGGGGTTTCAAAGCAAACACCCTGATTAAGTACTGCAGCTTTAGACAATTTGAATTGAATTCCCGTCTTCTGACTATCGACGGCAGTATGTAAAATTTGGGTAGTTTTTTCAAAATACCTAGTAGGTACGACTCCTTCATTTATACAGTTAAGGTCAGCTCTGTATCTATCAGACCTTCTATTGTAAATTTATAAGTTTTTTATTAATCACAATAGTTATCAAGGCATACCATTTCTGGGCTATGACCCTATCAATGCTATTAATGAACTTCATCATATTGAGCTGTTCTCTTTCTAGGGTTTCTTCTTCTACAGGTTTCATTTCTTCCCTAAAGTCTCCCATCAAGTTTTCAAACTCTAATTGTTCCGATTTTTCATTCTCATCTCTTTTAGAGAATGGCCTGTAAAGTTCTAAGACCCTAACCCTGTTTTTCAATTCTCTCAATTCGTCCTTAACATCATGAATTTCACACTGAAGGTCATTAAGAGTAGGTTCTTTCCTATGAGCCTTATCGTTCATCCTGTTTACTATAGTTTTGAAGCTATAGTTTTCAACTGGTTGTCTTACACTTGTTATAGGTTGTTGCGCATTGCTTAGACCTGCCTTGGCTAGTGAAATATAATTTTCTAGCGCTTCTCTCTTCTTCTCAGGATCTTCAATTTTATCAAATAAGTCTACTATCAGACTTTCTTCTCTAGTTAAGACACATATTCCAGATCCTTAAACTGACAAGCGCATTCATTTTCGCTATTTGAACTAGTATCAGTATCAGTTTTAAACAATTCTTCATTTTCAATTTGAGCTAGTTCGTTATCATTATCTTTCTTAGAATCAGAAGAGTTAAGCATTATTTGACAAAGTTGAGCTTTCAATTCTTCGCTAATGCTTAAGCTATTAATCTTTTCTTTCATCTTACAATCAGACTTATAATGTCCTATATTTCCACATCTGTAACATGTTGGGACTAAAGTCTTTTTCTTAGAGGGTTTCTTGGAGGTTTCTCCTTTATAAGGCCTTTTTCTAAAAGTTTTGTAAGGTTTCTTTGGCTTAGACTTAGACTCGTATTTTTCATATTTCTTAGTCTTTCATCCCCCAAATTTCTTTCCCTTTTTATGTGGTTTATGTGAATATGATTTTACTAGTTCAAAACCAAATTGTTCACAAAAGTCTCCTAATTCTTTTCTTCCTAAGGTCTTTTGCTTATTAAGCTGTTTTCTTAATTTCATATCTGTGTAAAGGGCTAATCCTTCTGCGCAGATTTCATAGGACAATTCCCCATAGGTATAAGACCTGTAAGGAATGACACCACCATTTTTCTCTTTGATTCTATTTCTAACCTTTTCAGGAAATAGAAGTGGTAATCCTGAAAGAAATTTCTCTTTTCAAAAGTCAGCATTACAGTCTTGTCTAGTGAATACCTTTGAGTAGAACACATCCTTATACCACCTAAAATGAGACAAGGTTGGACACTTAAGGTTCATTAAGAGTTCTCTAGACCTATCATGCTGTAATTACGTAGTACCTACGAAATGTAGAGTAATCGTATAAACTAGAGAATTTACCGCATCTTCTTGGTAAACGTTTTCATTCTTGATTACTCCAGTTGCTGGATCTTGTATACTCTGCTAACCAATGGTCACCTAAGCGTTCAAGACTTGAGCACTTGCCAAGTCACTTAGGTGGAAATCCCACCATCCTTTCAGTTGGTCGACAAAGCCTACTATGATAGCTTCAGCCACCCTCTTATCTCCATTTCCTTTAATCTTAGAGGCTGTAGCATACATCATCATGTGTTTCATCGTGTTAATGATCTGATATTCTGTCAGACCATCAATATTCCATTCAACTATGGAACTTCCGTCATATTGGGCGGAATTCCACATCCCATCTTCCTCAAACTGCAGATCTATCGACGTTGGTCTAGGATAGTAGTTTCTAGTCTTAGCAGTCTGGGTGAATTTTTTATCATTTTTTTCCTCTTTGAACATTGCTTCAAGGTCACTTATTTCTCCTTCAGTGAGAACTAACACTTGAGGACCCTTCCCCTTATCTGATAATTTTTTAGCTAGGACATCTACAAAATCTTTGTCATCTGACAGTGTCCTAACCATTTTAAAATTCTTGCTATCCATGGCAGGAGGTGGTTTAAAGAACACTTGACTCTTATTTTCAGTCCTTTTTATTTCTGAGGGGCTTGGTTCGGATTTTTGTTCCCTTGTAGAAACAGATGTTTCAATTCTGGTGACTTGCTTCCCTAATGATTGTAAAAACAAGTTCGTATAGTTGTTCTGCTGGATGACCGCACCTATATCTTCTCTGTTAGCTATGCGAAAATTATTGGCATTGTCTTCTAAGAAAGTGGTTTCTTTATAGGGAGCGGCTATGAAATCTTTTTGTTTTATTACTATTTCTAGTGGATGTATGGCTTTCACTGACTTCCCATCCTTGGATGTATAAGTCGAAAGCAGGCTTCCTATCATTTCTATATGCTCCTTATATTTAGGAATGTTGTATTTCTTAGCACACCAATCTAACCAGGTGAAAAAGGAACAATTAAATTTTTTTCTCTTTCATGAAGGCGGTATGAGCTTTCCATAGGTGGTCTTGCTTATGTTTTTGAAAGGCTGTTTCAAACCAAATTCTTCTATTAGTGTTTTCACCACTTTGATAATTTCTTTTAATTTTATCATGTTCAATTTCAAAAGATCTTATCATATTTATCTCGAATTCTACAAATGAGAATGTATGTTTGGGTTGAGGCGGATTTCTCCTAAATCCAAGATCTGAAATGGTCTGTTCAAACCTATAGGCTAGCCTCTGTATCTGTTCCTGGATTCTCCTAAGATCTGCTAGAACCATCCTTTCATGGTCTAGGTTTAGGGTTTAGGGTTTAGGGTTTAGGGTTTAGGGGGATAGATCTAGAAAGTGTCAGATCTATCCTAGTTCTCCTAGCGCTGGAGAATTGTATTTCTACTTCTCCGTCAGCAAACTGTGAGATCTGTGTTGGCTCCTGATTCTCAAGGGGTTTCTTTGGGGCTGTTTCAGCCAAAACCCATTTTTCTGGTAGAGTTATCTCACTCTACTTTATCATCTTTGGAACGGCTACATTTGACTTTTCAAGGTTGGTTTGGAACAAGGTGGTTTCGCCCTTACTGTCTAGATCTTTTGCTTTTGGGCAGACAGTGTTCATAACCTTATATGAAACCCTATAAATGATTGCTAGATTTTGGAATCCTGGGTCCATATCATAACCTTGAGTTTGAATATTCAACATTAAAGCTTTTAAGACATTTATATCAGAAAGTGCAACCGAAAAGTTTGGAAAGCAGTTAAAATATATCGGGTCTTCCCTTGAGGTTGACTCGACTATTCCTAACAAAGAATCTGTGAACTTTCTATGTCTTCCATCTCTTACACCTAGCAAGATTGAACTGGGCAATCATGTTATGGTAAGTGGTTGCACTGCTACTTGCACCAAGCCTATGTGCAAATAGTTATATTTCCTATCCAGATACTGGTCGATTTGACGCTGGGTAAATAACTGGAAACTATCATTCTTATCAATGACAGATATCGTTTTTTCAACAATTTTTATCGCATAATTGGATCTGAACTTGAAGGATCCTTTATAGTATATATCAGTTATGGGTACTCTGGGTATATCCCAGTTGCATAACTCCTTCTCTACGTCCCGCATGGTTATTTCTTGAGAGTTATTAACTCTTAGGGTTCCATGGCTAGAACTGTTACTAGAGCTTGCTTCTCCAGAAGAACGGGTAAACAAGATTCTCCTAAGGCTTGCCATTTTAATATTCGGGGTTTTATGCTTTCCTTCTGTTCTTCTCCTAATTCAAGGTTGGTAGTCCCTGCCTAGGTCTCTCAACGCCTCACACCTCTCTAGCAACGGCTAACGAGCCTATCCGACAACTAGACAACTCGATGACTAGTGAGTAAAGGAAACTTGACAGAAAAACCAGAAGATTAGACTTGCAAAACTTAGTTAGAACCTATAACCTAACAACTATATATACCTTGAAAGGAAAAGGAAGGCTGGAATGCCAACATGCATCTATTATTGAATTCGCCTGACCTGATAGTACAGTACCTATTTTGGGAACGTCCAGTGCCACTCAAATAAACTTATTTGAAAGACACTCTTGTAGGGCTCACTCTGTATAATATTGTACTAATCCAAATCGTCTATTTTGTATATATTCATTCAAAGATCATCTTTATAAAAAAAAAAATCACTTGAATCCAATATCATTTGACCACTCAATTGAATTATTGAAATTTTAGTACATTCTTAAAGCACCGGGTTGATCGATTTTGTAAAACACAATTGGATGTCAAAACAGTTTTCAATTTGTCTAATTTTCTACAAAGATGATCTATGAATGTGTACTTGATAGTTTGTATCTTTATATATTCGTTTTCTAAAACGTAACCAAACGATGAGTCACTTATTAAAAAGTATTAAAAAACGTGTAATGCAAAAGTTGTCTTTAAAAATTAACGAGAATGAAAAAGGATAAAATCAGAAGGCATGCATCATGAAGCCTCTGGAACAATAGGGAAAAAGATAGAATCTCCACGTTTCTTCTTGCACATATTAAAGTAAATAATAATAAGATATATCAAGAAGAAAGAAGAAAGAAAGAAAAGCAGAAGGAAAGGAAGAAGCTGGAACCTTCCTTGTTTCTCTAAATTGGTCTAAAGAAAGTTTTTCATTTTCGAATTTTCAAGAACCATGTGCGCACCTCCTAAACTTTCTCTCTCTCCCTCTCTATAAGTTTCATCCCATCCCAGCCCATGCTAAATAAATACATCGCTAACCAGTCCAAACCCGGATAAGCAGACAGCGGCATTAGAACACGATCACTACTATTCACCGGCATCGATCTTTCTTCATCATTAAACCAATAACCCACTCCTCCGAACAAACCATATAAGAGAAATGAGGCAACTCCGCTCTCTTGTCTTAACCTTGAGCTTTCTCCTTGTTTTTCTTTCAGCTGGGTCATCCAATGCGGCCTTGCTGCCATTCGTTGATCGCCGCCCAGAAAGTTTGCTGGTTGATCTCTGGTCGGAGCGCTTCCCAGACCCGTTCCGAGTGCTAGAACAGATCCCATTTGAACTTGACAAAGAAGACGGCGTGGCACTCTCTCCAGCAAGGGTGGACTGGAAAGAAACGCCAGAGGGTCATGTTATAATGTTAGATGTGCCGGGATTAAAGAAGGAAGAGCTGAAAATCGAGGTGGAGGCGAACCGAGTTCTGAGAGTGAGTGGAGAGAGGAAGAGGGAAGAAGAGAAGAAAGGGGATCATTGGCACCGAGTTGAGAGGTCTTACGGAAAATTTTGGAGGCAGTTTAGGCTGCCAGAGAACGTGGATTTGGACTCTGTCAACGCCAAGTTGGAGAATGGGGTTCTCACTTTGACACTGGCCAAGTTATCCCCTGATAAGATCAAAGGTCCTAAGGTGATTAGCATCGGTAGCACTGGAGGACATGAGGACGAACCTGCTCAGCTCAAGGCTAGTGAGGTCAAGCAAGAGCTTTAAATAATTCACTGTTTTGCAACTTTGTGGGATGAGTGAGTCCAAAAAACAAAAAGCAAAAAAAACTTTGTGGGATGAGTAAATGATGATTTCGTATCACTCTGCTTGCTTGCTATTATAAAATAAAGTTTGTAACTGTTTCTTTTTTTCAGATGTTGTTTGAAGTTAATAAAACTCCCTCGTCTGTAAAACTCTTATTGTAAAACTCACTCAATAATCTTGATCCCATGCCATCCATGGTGGGAAATATGCCTCATTATCCTCCTCAATAAAGCGTCCATCTTGGGGCTTTATTTAAGATTCATTTTCATGACAGAAATAAAAATAGGATTTAAAGTTAAGAGCAATTAAAACATCACTGCTATCCTTCACATGTTTCATACTTGAGCTTCACCGATTTTATTTATTCGAAACTGAAGAAGTAATATCTATCTGCATTTAAAATGTTCAGCTCCTTGTAAGGAAATTTTGATCGGCTTGTAAGGAAATGGCTCCTTAATGTGTATATATGTATAAGTAGGAGAATTTTCAAGTTAGAATGTCCCGCATAGCACTACCCCCAAAATGTAGTTCAAATGGCAATCATCGCAATCAAATAGCTATAGATGATCCTTGAAGGAGAACTTAAGATGGTTTCAATCACTGGATTGCAGGCTTGATATTTGATGTTCATAGTTATCTTAAATGAGAACATCCTCACAAGCTTCCTATAAATAGTTATATATACGCATCACACTTTGATGCTTATATGGATGTGGCTTGAACCATGTTCTATCTACTTGCAAAGTTAATTCTGATCAGTAGTTTATTGTGGTTCCAGGTATGAGTGGAGCTAATGACGCATAGAAAAGAAACCCTGGTTTGTGCCATGGTCCCCTGGAATGTCGTAGATGCTAGGATTCTCTTCTAAAATAAAGTCAGGTTCAGGGTGATGTTAGAAAATAATTGTTCAGATATGTGTGTGTCACATTTTGATAACTGTAAACTACTAGGTTTAACTGAAATAAAGGCCACCCTTGACTTTGTAGCTTACCTTGTTAGAGTGAAAAAAGAAAAATAATAACTAGCATAAGTTGCAGTATTGTAAGTTTGATTGATGCCCTCCTTATGTGCACGTAAGGGGGTGTCCTTAATACAACTCAGAAAAGGGTGGTCCAGTATACGAGTTTCTCACCAATGCGAGGCTCAGTAAGGCAAAAACATACTCTGCCATAACCTCATTTCCAGAGAAATGGAGGGCCAATGCAAGTGGTCGGCATATATATATTTCCAGACTTGAAGCTCCACACCAAGTCACTCGGAGTAAGTCATATTGTTGCGCTAAGACACCTAGACCTTTTATATGTAAATGTGGTTATATAGTAGGTAGGAACCAAATAACCTTGCTTGAACTGTTGAACCAAATTTGGGCTTTTAAGCAGAGTTCATGGGTTGGGAAGAAATAAGAGGAGTTTGAGAATTCGAGATCAATTGCAACTTGACTTCAAAATGATAAAACCAACAAGCGTGTCTAGGATTTGGTAGATCTCTTCCGTTCTAGGATGTGATTTGTCAACGGAATAAAATTGGTAAACTTGGTTATCAACCTCAATCCAACTGCAACCTGGGGTTTTATAAGCATTTCGCTCCCTCAACACCTTTCTCACCTTCCGGACGTCATCCCACTTCCCCAACTGCCCATATATATTGGCCAACATGATACCATAACCACCATTATTAGGATCAATTTGAATTAAATTTTTAACTGCAACTTCTGCGAGATCAGTACGACCATAAATCTTACATCCATTAAGCAGAGAACCCCATACAACCTCATCAGGTTCAATTCTCATTCCCCTCACAACTTCCATGGCTTCCTCAAATCGACCTGCTCGACCAAGAAGGTCTATCAAGCATCCATAGTGTTCTATCTGAGGCTCAATCCCGTAACCCCGAGTCATCAAATCAAAATAAGAAATACCTTGCTCTACCAATCCTCCATGAGTACAAGCATTGAATAAGCCAACAAAAGTGACCTCGTCCGGTCTAACATCAGCCCCACACCGTATCATTTCTTCAAACACACCAATTGCATCGTTGCTTTGGCCGTGCAGAGCATAAGAGTTGATCATGGAATTCCAAGATGTCAAGCTTTTTCGTGAGGTCCTGTCAAAAACCCTTCTTGCCACTTTTAAGCTCCCACATTTCCCATACATATCCACTAGAGCATTGGAAACAAATGAATCTGGACCAAGCGCATTTTTGTAAATATAGCTGTGGATCCATTTACCAAGCTGCAGCATGCCAGTGTGACTACAAGCTGAAAGTAAACAAACAGCTGTAACCTGGTTTGGCCTATTTTCTAGATGTTGCCCCCCATGCGCAAGAAGTAACATTCTTTTGAACAGATAAATTGCCTCCGAGAACTGGCCGTTCTGCGTGCACCCAGCAATAACAGCATTCCAAGCAGGGACATCTCTCTCCGGCATTTTCTCAAACAACAAAATAGCACTGCCAATGTCCCCAACTCTAGTGTACCCAGAAATCATAGCCGTCCAGGACACGACATTTTTCTCAGACATTTCATCAAATACCTGTCTTGCTGAGCCAACATCTGAGCGGAACCTTGAGTAGGAATCAACAAGAGCTGTTTGTACAACTGGGTATTGACCAAAACCCGATTTCGTAATGTGCGTGTGCATCAAAGCAGTGCCATGAGACTCAAAAACCTCTGGACAAGATTTCAAGACGTGGGGGTAGATAAACTGGTTGGGTCGAGCGCTTCCCTGACGAAGCATGGATTGGTACAACAGAAAAGCAGAATGGTGGTGGGATTGGGAGGCATAACCGGTGATCATGGCAGCGAAGAGGTACACATTGGGGGAGCTGAGACAGTCGAAGATGAGGCGACCATAGGGAAGGTTGTCAAGAGTGACAAGGCAGAAGCGGACGAGCTTGAAGGCGTAGAGCTGATTTTGGGTGTATCCCAGGGTGATGATAAAGACTTGCAGTTGCTTTACATGGTTGAGGCTTTTGCATTTTGCAAGCAGTTGGTGTAGATTCACCATCTTCTTCCTTACTTTTGTTACTGAGGTTTTCGTCGTTATCGGTTTGAGTTGATAACCAGATGAAATCTGGGTATCTTTTTATTTCGACAGTCCTTGCTTTTACATTTCCTTTTCTGCGAATCACTCTTCCAGAAAAAAACAATCTGCACACATGTCAAATTATAATTAGTAGAAAAATGAGGCAAATATTTTCCTTTTTTAGAAAGTAAGAATGGAAAAGGAAAACCAGATAATGAGGCAAATATTTTCCTTTTTTAAAACAACTTTATCTTATTTTCCATGTACCTTAATTTTCATCCTATCATAAATGTAAGAATAAAAATTTAAAGAAATTTGACAAGCTTCAAAACTTTAAGAAGGAGCTCCTTCTTAAATTTTAAGAAACCAAACTTTTTCCATATTTGTTTGATAAAAAAAATATTTTCCATATTTTATTTTATCAAATTTCCTACGGGACTTTACATTCTTCAACATGCGGAAGACAAAATCCACAAATTCATTTATGAATACATCAGGATGGAGTAGGAGAATGAAACTGAATGGAGTGTTTTTGTGTCGATTAAAAAGTTATATCCGACCAAACCAAACAAAGAAGTAAAAAAGAAGTAGAGAGCAAAGATGGTAGGATCGCATGCGGCACATAGAGTTAGAGAGGCAATCGCGGGGTGGTGTTGGTGCGGCTGATGATATTGTTGGGCGAAGGAAGGGGATTTGTAGGTGAACATGTCAAGTACATGTCAAGTTTTTAACAACGCGAAAGCAGTCAAACTGTCAAAGTTAGCAAATTAGACTCTGGACAGGAAAAAAAGAGAGAGTGTGGATTGTGGATTGTGGATTGATGGATTTGGAAGTTTTTCAGTTTTGGTCAGTTAAGTTTCCTCAATATTTTGTTCCTACAAACACTCCCCACCCACTTTATCTTTTCTTTCTGTGTTGCTTTCGTATGCTTCTTTCTTGGACCTTGGCGCTCTCCTCTCTCCCTCTCTCTTTCTATATCCAAAGTTTCCTCTTTTAGTTTTATTGTTCTCCTCCGTTATTTTACATTTTGGTCATGATTATATAATATAGCATTGGAAATCCCAATCCCAATCCCTTTCCTGTCTCTCTCAAACTCAAACACAAACTCTCACTCTCTTGTCGATTGATCGAATTGAAATCTCTTATCCGTTGGTCCTTTGTATTTGTCTTTTTTAAGTATCAAGTATTTTCTTTTGAAATGTCTGGAATGCTGAGATGGAAGAAGGTGAAGCATATAGCAGAGCTCCAGCAGCGGTTCACTCAGGTATCCCCAATCTCGACACACTTGAACCACCTTCATGTCACGAGCCATCGCCGAAGAGAGTCTCTGATCGGAGTGCAGGAGCGCTACAAGTGGGACCACGGCGGCTCTGGCTCCGGCGGCGATGTTCGCACCCGCAAAATCAGGGCGGAGGCGAATTGCCCCCGCTGCTCCTTCAACCGCATGGATCTCCTCTTCTCCGATCGGCGCTTACCCAACTTATCTCCTCCAGATGATTCCAGCACCAGCACCAGCACCAAGACGACCACCAAGACCACCAAGACCAAGGCTGACGACTCTGAATTTCATCAGTATCAGGCCCTCAATCTCTGCCCCAATTGCAAAACCGCCTACTACTTCCGACCCCACCAGATTGCTCCTCTCCAGGGCACCTTCGTAGAGATTGGGAGACTCACCAACACGACCACCACCTCTTCCAATCGTAACGCCACCAGAACCAACAACTCCGACAACAAGTCCCATTCCAGAAATACCCAAAATACTAATAATAGTAATGGAGGAGGAGGAGGAGGAGGAGGTGGTGGTGGTGGTGGTGGTGGAGATTCGATGCCTAATATTAACAGTAATGGGCTGAGGGTGTCTTTCTGGGACACTTTGAGGTCATATGCGAATGGGGCGGACCCACCAGACAACTGGCCTCCTCCTCCTCCTCCTCCTCCTCCTCCAGGCAATGGGCTGGCCGTGCATACTCCTCCGGGGCCTCCTTTTGCCCCTGGAGTCAATGTCATTCGTGCTTCTGGGCCCCCTGGAGATGCTGGGGAAGACAACAAGAATGCCTGGGGCGGTTCCAATATGGGAAAAGATTTGCCCACGCCCAAGGAGATCTGCAAGGGTCTTGACAAGTTCGTTATTGGCCAACAAAGAGCCAAAAAGGTTCCCAATCTCTTTTTTCCTCTGCATTTTCGTTCAATGCTTTATTCCATGGCCCTTTAAAACTTATTCTGTGGATGATTTTTGCATCTCTGTTGGGCAGGTGCTTTCTGTGGCTGTTTATAACCACTACAAAAGAATATATCATGCCTCCTTGCAGAAAGGGTTGGTTTTCAGCTGACTTTCATTTTTATTTTCAGTTTATTGTCTGACCTCTCACTCTAACTGAACTAAAATTCATGCTCCTAGCTCTTTACTCAGACTTTTTTCCCCTCTTAGTCATAATAATACTTTTGTAAGCTGTCAGAGGATGTGGTCCTATATGTTCTATCGTTTCTGTGTATCTATTTAATAGAACTGAACCAGTGGAGTTGTATACTAGGTCAGGAGGAGAATCAGGTATTCCAAGCACAATAGATGATGAGGATAAAGTGGAGCTAGAAAAGAGCAATGTGCTCTTGATGGGCCCAACTGGCTCAGGTATGATTTCTTCTGAAGCGCAGGGAGAAAAACTGGTGCTCTCCACTTCTTTATGTTCTTAGACTGAGACTAATCATCTAAATTGATACTGGGCTATCTGGAAGTTGAAGTAAGAAGAAACTTAAAATGTTAACCTGCCCTTCTAACTGTAGTATTGTAATGTAAAACAGGGAAGACGTTGCTTGCAAAAACACTAGCTCGTTTTGTGAATGTGCCATTTGTGATTGCTGATGCAACAACTTTAACACAAGTAAGTTTGTTTTTTAGTTATTTATCTACAACTATTATGAACTCTAAATACTCGAGCATAAGGATTGAATACAATATCTGTTATTTGGGCCAAGGTTAGTTTTGGCATGCTTGGTATCTTTTACTAACTGCAAACTGATTGCAATCGAATTTTGAGAGTCGGCATGTAGTATTGAAATTCACTTTCTCCAGCTTTAATTTAATCATTTACATCCAGCATTCTTTAGGCTGGATATATCTTTATCTATTACTGGGGAACTGAAAGAGGCAAATACTGCTATTTTGCAGGCTGGTTATGTTGGAGAGGATGTTGAATCAATATTGTACAAACTACTGATGGTATGGTATGCCGTATTTGCATTTATCTGACTTACAGTCCAAGTGACATTCAAATTGTTGCTTCTTATCCTTGCAGTAATATGTCTATCTTTTCCCATCTTTCTGGGGGGAATGTGCATGCATTTCTGTGTATTCTGAACACTTAATCATCTTTGAAATGGTATCACTACTCTTCTTTAGTTGTGATGTGAGAGTGCATGGGTATAGCCTTTTCCCCCCCTCTTTCCTCCCAACCTTCGCTTGTTAATTGTGTATGGTTGATCATATGAACTGATGAGAAGGGACATTGCTGAGGACAATGTCTATGACTTCATGGTTATTTCCATCAAATGAATAGGTCAAATCAAATTTGTATGGGCAATAAAACCTATAGGAGCTGGACAATAATAAGTTCTGGCTTGGATCCTTTATCCACATGACCATGTACTGTTCTGATTTGATTTGGGTGGTCCAGTTATAGTGAATCTTTAAATAGCAATGCAAATTTCTGCTGCGTCAACAACATCTTAGTCATTGACAAAACTTCTGCTAGTTTATGTTCTTGATTTCAAGCTTCAATTAGTCTTTTAACATTGTGCTTGCACTTCCATTCATATCAGTGAACTCACATAGTTGATCTTGTAAATAGGCAGCTGAGTTCAATGTACAAGCAGCTCAACAAGGGATTGTTTACATTGATGAAGTTGACAAGATAACCAAGAAGGTGCTGTATTTTTCTTTTCTTATTTCATTTTTTGATATAATTTGTAGGTATAGTCAGTCTTAGTTTCTTTAGTGTTGGTTTTCAGGCTGAGAGTTTAAACATTAGCAGAGATGTTTCTGGAGAGGGTGTTCAGCAGGCTTTATTGAAAATGCTCGAAGGAACTGTGAGTCAGTTCTACACTGCAGTGTTGCTCATCAGTTTATTTATTTATATATATAACCTTTTGAAAATGTTTTCTTCTCTGGATGCACGGAAACAAATCAAATGTTGGCTGTGGCTTTCTCTACTCAGTACTTCACTTTTAGTGTCTTTTAAATTCATAAACATATGCAAGTCACTTTTTATGTATTTTCAACTTAATACAAGCAACTCTGATGTAGGAACACTGGTCACTGGGTGGAAAAAGAGAGAAGCAAACTAGAATAAAAGTTATAGAAATTGTTAAAATCTCACAAGGACAACGTGAAATAAAATAATAATTAGACCCTAATATCGAAGCCACCAATTAACTATACATTCTTAATTCTAATATAATAGAACTAACTTAAATAGGCATACTTTCTAAACTTCCTGCTGCACCTAAAATAAATATATTTTCCTTCTTCCATCTCAATATTTTTTCCTGGCGGGAGAAAACTGGACTTCGAGTCTTGTAATGTTGAAGCATCATGAAACTTGGAACTTCAATGAACTTATCTTCTAAATGAGAGGAGTAGCAAGAATTGCAACAGATCTTCAAACGTGGAACTGTTGTAAAGTAGTCTCAGCAACAAATATTAGCCACAAAATTAATTGAAGAGGAATAAAGAAATCAATGCTTTGATTTCTTGAATGGCTGTCTTTTATCAAAAGTAGCTACAATGTTAGAAAATCTTACAGTCTAGAATCTATATAAACCAGTGTTTCTTCTCATTTTTAATGCAGTACACAAGCTCTTTCCTTCTTTTCTCTTAATTTTCTTTTAACACAGCATGGCATTTGTTTCCTCAGAATTTCTGGTTCTTCATTATGGGTTTGAAGACAGGATTCTCTTTTAATGGGAGAAAACAAGAGAGAATTCTGGCTCCACACTTCTGGATTCTCATCTTTGGCAGTAGTTGCCGTTGTTCTTCCATAGTTGTTTCCAGTGCCTCTGAGATCTTACTTTTTACATTTTTTTATTATCCATTTTAAGAAATACTTAATTTAGCATTTCCCATTTTATAAGGTGTAGAATGAGATGAATTGAGACCAATAAAATCACACAAGGGTGTTAGGCTGTAGTTTGTTGGCCTATTCACCAACAGTTTTAAACTTTTGGAGTCCAGTGTATGTCTAACATCCCCCACTGTTTAAAATCTTTGCTTAACCCCTAGCAATACCAGTAGTCACTTTCTTCCCAAATAAATTCCCTGGGAAGTTGGGAGGTTTTCTTTCAAATCTAAAGGTGATCAACAACATTTCCATGAAGTGGGTACACCTATCGGGAGCAGGATATTAATTAATGTTTCTTCAAATCTGCATTACAGTTTAAGTTTACAGGATGTTTTCAATTTATCAGCGTTGGTTAATGTGCCTTTAGACTGAGCTGACTTAAGGCTATCTGTGGAACAAAAATTTGAAGAATCTTTACATGATATGACATTATGATTAAGGATTGTAAACAGAATACTCAAAAGAAATGAGAAAGTAAATATATATATATATAATGTATATATAAAATATGACACAGGCCAGAAGAGAAAATGCCCATATGTAATATTTGGTGGTCCTCCCATTTGCATAATTTCGTATTATCTTCCTTGGCACCGCTGTAAGACAAATTTAAGAATTTAATTATTGAAAAAATATCTGAAGTCACAATAATAATAGTTCAGGAGTCTAATCTGGTCCAAATCAAATTTAAATATTGTTCCGTTTTTTGCTTTTTATTTTATTTTATTGGGATGATCGGTCTTAGAAGCACGCTTTTTTTATGAGCCTCTCCTTTAGTCACATCACTTGTTATAAACTCACATGTACTAAATTCTTTTTGTGTATCACATTAGATGCACTTCTATTTATAATGAACTTGCATAGCGCCATAAAATCAGAGCTATAAAATTATAAGCATAGTTTCTTATGTTAACTGAAGAGTAATATTTTTCTTCGTGTTTAGATAGTGAATGTTCCTGAGAAGGGTGCAAGGAAGCACCCTCGGGGTGATAACATACAGGTATGGTGTTTCTAAATTTCTGATGTATTATTGTACTCACAAATATGTTCATATCATCTTGATTATCCCACTTTTAGAACCTTAGGTTTTGTTTATTTTATTTAGTATTGAGCATATTCATGTATGTTTACTGAATATATATATATATATATATCCTGATTGACAATGTGTCTAGCTTGAAATATATGTTATATTTGTTTTATGAAAGCAATTATTTTTTTTAAAGCTGTAGCAGACTTTTTATTTATATTCACTTAATTAATAGTTAAGTAAGAAACCTTAAGACGATGGGCAAAAAGTCCATCTAAGCACAAACAATCAGAAAGCTTCAGGAGTGGGATCGCACTTTGAGGCCTAGTTTATTACTTTAGATTGTACAGTCATGTTCAAGGGTTTTGGTTGATGTCCAAAACATGAGAGCTGACTCCTAAATTATAAGGCTAAGCGGGTGACAGAAAAAAACATAGGAGCCCAAGCCACCCTTGAGCGGATGAAAGTGCCCGCTCTAGCGGCCAAGGATTCCAGCTGAGAGGGAGAACGGAATGAATCCTGCAGTATTCATTCCGTTCAAGCTGTACCCTATGCGAGCTGAAAATAAACACGAGGCAGATTGTCTTTCCAAGAGGGAGTCTTACTGACTGAGTCGAGGTTTGTCTCCCTCTTGGAAAGACAATCGGCCTTCATCCATTTAATTTCGTAGTCACATTTTCCAACAAAACACTTAATGCACACGAATTAGCCCAAATGGGAAGGCCTTCGGAGTTTATAGGTCATCTCTTGTCTCATAACACATTCCCCTAGCCAAGGACTCTATTATCTTTTCCTGCACATTGATGCCCACCGACACCTTTTAGGTACATTTGTTGTCAACCTTGGATTAATCCAAAACGTTATTTCTTGAGAGACTTTGTATGCCTTTTTTTTTTTTTTTTTTTTTTCTGGTAATAAAAAAATTCAGATTATAGAGTACCTCTTGGGTCTCTTTGCCCTAGAATCAGTGTTCCAGCTTCGATCACTATTGCTTTCCTCTCTCTGTCTCTTCTGTTTATTTCTGGAAGTTTATTTTGTACTGTGGTTTTGTACTGCTTCAGTGATCTGATAGCAGCTTAATGTTCTTGTCATACACCATCCTTTGAGGTCATTTTACAAAAGGAAAAATCTGCTATTAAAATTTTCCTTAAAAGGTGTGCGGGCAATGGGACAAGGGGTGCTCTTACTTTATTAGCAAAGTATTACGGATTTAGACATATGCACAAATATTCCTATTTTTCACTTTTATGGTCTCGTATTCTTAAAATTCATGTAAATGATCTGCAGATAGATACAAAAGATATTCTTTTTATTTGTGGTGGAGCATTTATTGATCTTGAAAAAACCATTTCAGAAAGGTAATGCTTATTCATTTTCCCTCGCAGAGTTCATTTGCCAAATGTTTCTTTCCCCTCTTCTTCTTTTGTCCCCTTCTCTCCCTCTCTCTATCAAATTTTTTGGGAAAAAAAAAAAAGAATCTGCTATGAAACTGTATAATTTTGACCAGACGACAAGATTCTTCTATCGGTTTCGGTGCTCCTGTTCGTGCCAACATGAGAGCTGGTGGTGTGACCGATGCAGTGGTGACATCATCTTTACTTGAATCGGTATGAATCAGGACCTTTCAAAGTGAAAGTCGTTGTTCACCATTTTCTTATTTCATTTATATTTTTTTTTCTGGAGCAGAAATATATCTGCTTGATAAAAAGTAAATTCTTTTTCACATTATCTTTTAGCATATCCACAATTAACAACACCCCCACCCTCCCAAAAGAAGATTAAAGAATGAAAACTGAAAGAAGCAAATTAAGCCAAAGTAGTTCCTTAAAATGGGTCTGAAAGCTGCTATTTTTGTTTTCCAGGTTGAAAGTTCCGATCTCATTGCATATGGACTTATACCAGAGTTTATTGGACGTTTTCCAATATTAGTTAGTTTAACGGCCTTAACTGAGGACCAACTTGTTCAGGTAACACATAAATGCACTTGTATTTGGAATCAGCGTCCTGCTGGTGCTTGGGCTGGTGTTCCTTCTGTTTAGTTATTTTTGGGCAGGCGGAGCTTGAAATTATGAGGATCCCAAATTTTATGCTGTGCAGAATTACGTATTTGAATTTCTTCACAGAACTTTTCTTTTACAGGTCCTCACGGAACCAAAAAATGCTCTTGGCAAGCAGTACAAGAAATTATTTACAATGAATAACGTAAGCATTTTGTTTTATATTCTGGGTCCCCTCCTCTCTCTCTCTTTCTCTCTCATGCAACTAGAGTTAAGCTTCTGTATGATGAGAGCTTGTACCCATTTCAGGTGAAGCTACATTTTGAGGAGAAGGCACTGAGACTTATTGCAAAGAAGGCGATGGCTAAGAATACTGGTGCCAGGGGTTTAAGAGCACTTTTGGAAAGCATTCTAACTGAAGCCATGTATGAGGTATGCAAGAATCTATTGCTTAGATGGATGAAAGAAACTTCTAACGTGGAAATGTTTTCTTTATTTATTTTTTCACAAGCATGGAAATGTTTTCAAATACATAATCTGTTTTGATGTGCTTATGTCTCAGATTCCAGATGTTAAGACAGGAATTGATAGAATAGATGCTGTAGTGGTTGATGAAGAGTCAGTGGGTTCGGTAAATACCCCTGGATGTGGAGGCAAGCTTGTTCGAGGGGATGGTGCATTGGAAAGATACTTGAGTGAAATCAAGTCGAAGCAGTCAGTGGTATGATTCCACAAATGATTACATATGCATCTGCCCTTTCTGGTTCTAGGATCCATTACTTATTTCCAATATACCCCCAGGCAATTTGGCTTGTGGGACCCACCTGTGCAGTTTTTGTGGGGAATCATCAATTTTTCTTTTTCTTTTCTCACGAAAAATTGGATGGTTTCATTGCAAAAACGATGACATGTATTGAACACTGATTGTTTATTACAAAAAAGGGGTGTGGTCTTTTAATGTTCTTGTTAGAGTTTAAAAGAGTATCATAATCAAATTCAATCAACCTATGCAGGAAAATGTAGAGGCGGCTGAAGGGGAAGCAGAGGGTGAATCAGAACAATCGTCCAGAGCTATGAGCATGTAACACTTACAGCACCGTAGTTGTTATAATCTGTAAAATTTATGCCCTTGTTATTTGTAAAAAAATAAAAGTCATAGCCTGGTGTAATTGCCCCCTTATAAAACAGTATAGCTTCTGTTCACATTAACAGGAAAAGAAGAAGGCCAAAGTATAGCATTACTAATTTATTCAAAACATTGTACAAAACTCATGTTGCATTGGATTAATGGGTTTCAGTTTTATACAGATTGGTAGCCTCATCATTCTTCAGGCTTTTAAGAAGGGAGATTCACTATTATATCCAATATAAGGACTCAAATTATTTTATTTTATTTTTATAAAAAAAAAAACCCCCTACATGAAATGGACTTTAGAAACACACTCAAAGTTCATTACAAAATAACGAGGTTTCGAACTTGCTATAAATTACAAACTTACCATCGATTTCTTAAAACAAATTCAACTCTAAAACCTCATTAAAAAAACTTCAAAATACTTAATAGGGTATCAAAGTAATTTAATAATTAAAATTAAATTCAATATGGCCAGCTATCATTTTTAGAGTTTTTTTTCTGGGTTTGTTTAAAAATCCGTATAATCAAAGGCGGACCTAAGCCTAGGCTGGAGTGGGCTCCAGCCTAGGGGAACATTTATAAAATATTAAATATGGTCTTATTATTATAGGTTTCTTCTTACCCAAATAAATATTAGCCCATTGCACTAAAAATATAGCCCATACGTGCATTGTTTTTTTATTTATTAATAAATTAATAATAGCCCAATCTAAGTAAAGTAAATAATAGCTTAGTCCCACTCCTGAAGCATATAAGAAATTATAAACGTCAATCCAATCCAAACCTATATAAATTTGATTAGAAGCAGAACTCACGCTACGGCTTTACCAACTTGAGCTATTGTAATCTTACTGATATTGGGCTACACCCACGTAGAGCAAACATCAAAAAATTTCTTCTAGCCACCAAAAACGCCATATTTGAACCTTGAGAGCCTAGAGGAAATAGCTCTCCTCCTCTAAAAATTTGTACCAACCTATCTTGAGTGGGTTCTTCAATCTTGGTAAGTTTATATATATATTCAATATCTAATTTTAATTGTTGTTGTTAAGTTTTTATGATTTAGGGTTTGAGTGAAAAATTTTGGAGATTGTTGATATATGTTTTATTTTTGCAACTTGAATTATTAATTAGCATATATGATTTTTGGTGTCTAGTATTTTTGGGAAATCAACTTATTGTGTTCTTGTTGATGAAGCAAAAGATTTCTCTAATAGAGAGCAAATGACCATTGTTTTAAGATTTGTTGATAAGGATGGTTTTGTACAAGAACGTTTTTTAGATTGTTTGGTATTTATTTATATTTTGTACTTCTTTGTGTTATATTTGCTTGTAATATGGCTTTGTTTGATTTGTAAAATTTTATTTACATTTTTGTTCAAGAGAAAAAAGGCTTATAATATATCTCCTCTGTAAAAAAAAAACTTAGCCTACCCCTAAAAAAATTCATGGATCCGCCATTGTGTATAACGACAGTCAAGTTTCTTTGCAAGATATCAGGAAGCTAAGGATAAGTTTCCTGAAAGACAAAGGACCAAATAGGAACAACATAAATGTGATATGTTACATTTGTTGGTACATAATATTTTAATGTGGACATCTAGTTAAATTATTAAAATTGGAATTACTGTAAAAGAGAACACAATGGTTTGATGAAAGGCTGCAGTTATTCACATTATTTAATGGTGACCTAACTGAGGTTTGAGGTTGCTCTCAAAGCAACAAATTTGGGATCATTATTTATTATCCTTAAAAGAAACATATAAACTGGATTTAAGAAACGGAACAAAGAAATTATCCAAAAATATGGTAATTAACGGACAACCACCAGATAATAAACAAGGCCAGTGTGATGCTAAACCAAAGAGGAAATGAAAACATCTTTTTGGATTTGGACTTGGAAATGAGTTCAAGAGCAGCAGACTGGGTTGGAAGAGCTGGAATTGCACCCTTCTGAGTGGTACAGATTGCTCCACAAGCATTTGCAAAATACAGAGCCTCCTTCAATTTTGTTTCATCCTAGGTAGTTAATTAAAGTTAAGGTTAGGCCAATTACAACCCTGAAATACAAGTTTAAAAAAACATGTCTAATTAATTTGGGACTGAACTTACCTCAAATATGGACATATCTTTGGCCATGGAAACCAAAAATGAGCCAACAAAAGCATCACCAGCACCAGTTGTGTCGACAGTTTTAACAGAGAAGCCAGGCACCTTTCCTTTAAATTTCTGTATCACATTTACATGCATCTATTATCAGGAAGCAAATTAAAGAAACAAATCAAAACAAGTACAACCATGTACCCTCAGTATTAAGTACTCATGAGTCATCATTTTGACATATTAGAGTCATCAAATTTGCTCACCGAAGATATACGTGCGAGCATCTTACAGTTATTAACTAGTAGTACTCATGTTAAACGAAGTGGGCACACTGATTTAGTATATGTAGAAAAGGGGAAAAAAAAGTGTATATACATGTATAGAGACGTTCAAGTGCAATGTGACCACAAGCAAGGTTGGTCCTAAGATTTTGAGAGACCTATGCAAAACTTAAACTGGAGCTCTCACATAATCTAATATGAAAATACTAATAAATAAATAATATTTACCATGAATGTCATAAAACAATTTTTTTTTCATAACTAAAATTCATCATCAATTAGCATGTAATAACAATCACAAATCAAATTCATAAATTTTTTACTATTTTCATTTGATAAAGTTAAATATTAGTATGTTCGGTAACAAAAAATAAGAGTTCAAGAGAAAGAAGAAGGCATGAATTTTTATTTTTATTTTTGTTTTGTTTTGAGTGGAAGAAATTACTTTTTTTTTGGTTGGGTGTGATATATAATGTTGTTAGTTTAGTTGGATTGTTTCCTTTTGTTTTGTTTTGTTTTTTTTTTTCATGTGCTTCTATTTTTAACTAATTTAAATTTTGTTGTTATAATGAAAAAAGAATAAAAATATGAATAGAATGATATCAACGAGACTCAAACTTAAGCCTTGTATCAAGGGATATGCGCTAAAAACAAGCTCCACCAATACACTTTGTTTCATTATATGCTGTATGATAGAGTATATATAGTTTTTATAATATTAAAATATATAATAAAAAGTAAAAAAAATTTGAGGACCCTCAAAAATCGGAGGCCCTATGCTTAGGGCCACCCCTGACCACAAGGGGTTGCTCTGGATAATAATTACGCACGCACCTTATGGCATGTTTACTAATCCGGAATTGGAATTCTCATCTGGAATTGAATTCCGCCTATGGAGAATTCCTGCGTTTACTTCACATTAAGGAATTGAAAAGTAAGCGGGGCCCACACAAAATTAGGAATTGAATTCTTGATTTTGGAGGAATTCAATTCCGGAATTGGAGGTGGTATTCTAATTCCTGGAGAATTCACCCATTAGGAATTCATCTTTTTTACCCATTATATCCTCACACAATTTTCAAAATTCCAAATATGCCATCTACTTTAACCAAAAAATGTGGACATTTTAGTAATTAGTACCACTCCTACCCCAATTCCATATGATTTAGTAAACAACTTCAATAGGAATTCGGAATCTAACTCCCCTCAATCCATATGGTTTAGTAAACAACTTCATTAGGAATCCGGAATCTAATTATCCTCAATCCAACTCCTCCTCAATTCAATTCATCCTCAATTCAATTCCCCCTAATTCAATTCCGGATTAGTAAACATGCCATTAGTGTAATATCTGCAGCCCTTCTCACCATCAGTGACCACAAGCAGTTTGAGGTTGTCATGCCAATAGGGACAGAACCACATCTTCTTTTTCTGCATCTCCTTGCGTCAGGAATTGCACCTCGTCGTCGCTCACCTATATAATTACACATGCATTCAACAATCATCAATCATAATAATATGATATCTATAATTAATCATCTTTGGTTTAGGATCATCAATTACTCTTAGAATTCTTTATCTAAAAATAGCATTAAATAGAATAATTAATTCAATAAAAAAGATTTGCAGCAATGCGTAATTAAGAAGTCAAGAATACTATAAACTTTAATCCAATTTTGACATCAAATTAAACAGTCCTGCAGCTAAAATTGAGTGCCACCATGGACGATCTAATTAAGAAGGAAGTCATAAAATTAAATAAATATTTGTTTTGGGGGGATTGGATGCGTATATCTAATTGATCAGGAAGATGAGCAAGTAAATTGTATTTTATATTAATATACAAAAAAGAGAGAGTATAAATAATAAACCTTGATGAAATCAGCCTGATTCCATATGCTCTTGATCCCCTCCCTAGCAGCATCAGCAGAGGGCCAGAGAGGCAGCCTAACATTGGGATCATAGGAAAGCATAATACCGGCATCCTTATCGGCTTTCATGGCTGCCATATGAGCCGATCTGCATGGCTCGGAGATGAGGCTAATGGATCCGTAGTGGAATATCTTAGCTTGCTTAATAAGAGGCATGTTTAGCTCTGAATCCTTTAGCAACATGTCAGCACTAGGGTTCCTGTAGAACATGAACTCTCTTTCACCGTCCTTCCTTAAGGTCACAAACGCCAATGCCGTTCTAGCATGCGTATCCACGCACACTCCCTCAGCGTTCACCCCATTCTTCTTCAATATGTTGATCAGCATGTGCCCGAACTCGTCATCTCCAACCTGCACATGCACAACTCCTTAATCACTACGTAAAACTTATTATAATAATAATTGATTTCTTAATCAAAACCGGCAAGCAATAGATCTATTACTACAAGAGAGAAAAAAGGGAGAGCGACAGAGAGATTGATCGATCTATATCTAACCATTCCAATGAAAGCCGATTTACCACCAAGCTTGGTGATGGCACAAGGCACATTGGCAGGTGCACCACCGGGGGCTTTGAGGAAGCCCGTGGACTCAGCCAGCGAAACTCCTGCAGTGTCGGGCACAAAGTCGATGAGCATCTCTCCCAAAGCTACAATCAATGGGGTCCCTGAATTCGCCATTCTCTTCTTCTTCTTCTTTTATTCTTCTCAACAAGATATCTTTCTTTCTTTCTGTATATATAAAGAAACTAATTGAATG